AGTGGTGCGTGGCTGAAAGTTGCGGATCGAATCTGTAATGGAGGGTGGAGATGTGTTTGTGTTTCTTATAGTGCCATCCAACGGTGAATCACAAACACGAAGTGGAGTGGGCGTGTCATCAATGTTTGTTACTGCCACACGTGTCTCGGGATTCCGTGAAGTAGGTGAGTGCGCATGTGCCTTTGAAGGTTGATAAGGCATGGTGGTCGTTTCGTGTGGTTGTGTCGGTGTCATAGACAAAGGATTGGGTTCAAGTGTTGTTCCACCTGCATCGGAGCATGAGTGAAGCGGTTCGTGGATCGAGTCAAGTAAAGAAGACGGGGTGGCCGGAACTGTGAAAGTGGGTCTTCGCCGACGAAGGGACGTAGCTTAGACACGTGGAAAACGGGATGGATGCGAGAACTCTCTGGTAACTCCAAGGCGTAAGCAACCATGCCGATACGTTGATGAATCTTGAACGGACCATAAAATCGCTTAGACAATTTCTGGCTAGAGCGACGATGAACAGTTGTTTGACGATAAGGTTGAAGGCGCACCCAAACCCAGTCACCGACAGCAAAGTGTGCGTCTATACGTTGTTTTTCTGCCTCTATTTTCATTCTTTGTCGTGCTCGGTGAAGATGGTACTTCACAACTGATAAAATGGCTTTGTGTTCTTGCAGGATGGTTGACACTGAGGAAACTTTGGGGGCAAAGTCGGGAAGCAAATCAATGGTAGTAGGCGGCGGGCGACCATAGAGAACGTGAAAAGGAGATGTGGCTAAGCTGGAATGCTTGCTGGTGTTGTACCAGAACTCCGCAATGTGAAGAAACTGAAACCACGAACGAGGGGTGTCGCTCACGAAACAACGTAGGAAACATTCCAGGGTGCGGTTCAAAACCTCCGTTTGTCCGTCCGTTTGTGGGTGGTAAGAAGAGCTGTATTTAAGTGTTGTTCCTTGAGCTTTAAAAATCTCACGCCAAAACTGACTTAAAAATATGGGATCTCTGTCTGAAATGATGATTTTAGGAGGACCATGCAATCGAAAGATCTCCTACATAAAACGTTGGCTGAGTTGTTGTGTAGTGAAGCGTGTGGGAAGGGCCACAAAATGACTATACTTGCTCAGACGATCGCATACTACCCAAATCACGGTGTAACCGTAGGAACTTGGCAAAGAGGTAATGAAATCCATGGTCACCTCTTCCCATACCTTGTTGGGAGTGTGGAGTGGTTGTAACAAGCCCCTAGGTTTCTGAGTTTCATATTTGTTTTGTTGGCAGATGGCACAACGCTTGATGAACTGACGAACATCTGAAGCCATTGAAGGCCAGTAATACGAAGCAGCTAGGCGGCTAAGGCTAGACTTAATGCCAGAGTGACCAGCTATGGGAATGGCATGGTACTCTTGCATCAATTTTTGACGGAAATCACAAACCTCGGGCACGAAAAGCCTATTGTGGAAATATAAGAGCCCCTCACGAAAACTGTACGTGTGTCCCAGGTGAGTATTATGAATGAATCTAAGAACTGTTGCTTGGCCTGCTGGATCTGATGTAAAATAATTCTTCCATTGTTGTAAAAAGGTTGGAATTGGAGATGACAAAGCTAGCAGAATTTGATCTGGAACATCCTCAGGACGAGACAAGGTGTCAGCCACTGTATTGTGACGTCTTGCTCGGTAAACAATTTGAAAATCGAATCCCAACAATTTTGTCAACCACTTTTGTTGTGCTGGCGTCTGAATGGCTTGAGACATTAGATGTTGAAGACTTTGTTGATCGGTCAGGATCACAAATTTTTGGCCAAGTAAGTATTGTCTCCATTTCTTGACAGCTACTATGATTGCATACATCTCCCTCACATAATCTGACTCATTTTGCATTCTTGTGCATAACTTTTTACTGAAAAAGGCCAAGGGATGAGAGTCTTGGGTCAATACAGCTCCTACAGCAACCCCGGAAGCATCAGTCTCGAGCACGAATGGTTTGATGATCCAAAAATTCAAAGAAATTTTAAAGTTTGTCCAAAGTTTATTAGCATGCACACCAAAATGAATTTCAAAGAAAAGGATCAACTTAAAAAATGTGGTTATTGTTAAACTATTGAACATTTAAGAAAAAAAATATTCACAACTACAACAATTACGATTTATATTTTTTTAATATAGTTTGTGTTTGAATAATAAAAAAATTAAGAAATTCATGTAATTATTTTTTTGTAATTTATATTATTTAAAGTCTAATTTATCCTTTAAATTTAATTTACACTTTAAACACTTTTTAATAACATTATACTTTATTCATTTTGGCCGAGTTGGTTCGTGTAAGCGGAAGGAATCAGAAATATACAGTCGGCTTGGCATATCGGCGAGAGCTACAGTCGGCCTGGCATATCGGCGAGAGCTACAGTCGGCCTGGCATATCGGCGAGAGCTACAGTCGGCCTGACATACGTAGTAGGCAGGTCAGAATCCGACCTGGACCGTACACTAGCCCTCCAGCGCTGAGCCTATAAGGCGGAAGGGCTTTGCTAGACAGGGGGTCGGCTTAGCCATGGCCGACATGTCCCTCGTGGAGGCCCCTAGTCGGATTTCGTCCTGGACCGTACATTAGCCCTCCAGCCTTGAGCATGCAAGGCGAGAAGGCTTATCCTCAGCCGATACATACAGTCAGATTCTTGTTGAGCACACTTTATGGCTAAGGCAAGGGACAGACCAAGAAGATTCACAGACTCGTTATCTCAATTCGTGGCTCCTCGGGCTCTGGTAGGGGATGTGAGAAAATTCACCCAGTTAAAAAGCTTCAAATGGAGTAGTCGGTTAACTATCCGACTCAGTTACCTTGGGTCACCGAAATACAGAGTCGAAATTCACCAAAATCAAGTCGCCTAATTTCCGACTATAAATGATGAGAAATTTTTTTTTTGTTACAATGAAATTTGACAATCCGATCGGCGAAATACCAACTCACAAAATGAGTGGAAAATTTTCCGAGTTAAAATGAATCCAACTAATAGCCCCCATGCTCACCATTCCGAGAGTGAAATAAAAAGATGTTCTTCTAGCTAAGATGTGGCGTTTTTGGCCGAGGTGTGGGACATGATAAGCCTACGGGTCAGACAAATGTCGATCTCCCTATAATGATTTAGTATTTTGGGTGTTCTCTGAAGAGTTTTGCTTCCCCCTAGTTCGGATTTTTACCGAGCGATCATGAATTTGTGTCTTCGAGTTATTTTATACTCGCCCAGTCAGAATTTAACCGATCGATCACGAGTTTGGTTTTCGAGTTATTTATACTCATCCAGTCGGATTTTTACCGATCAATCACGAGTTTGGTCTTCGGATTATTTATACTCGCCCAGTCGGATTTTTACCGATCAATCACGAGTTTGTTTTTCGAGTTATTTATACTCGCCCAGTCGGATTTTAACGATCAATCACGAGTTTGGTCTTCGAGTTATTTATACTCACCCAGTCGGAATTTTACCGATCAATCACGAGTTTGGTCTTCGAGTTATTTATACTCGCCCAAAAAGAAACATTTAATGCAAGACCAAATGCATTAAATGAAAGGATCAAAATAGTCATGAACGAATATATCTGCTTCAACGGACACTTGCAATGGGAAGCTTTGCATCAACGGACATATTCATAATCAAGTAACGGGCAGATCTCCACTAGACCATATATATATCACTATAGACGGCACCACGGACCCCGACGAGCACATCGACTCATACACAACTCAAGTAAACCTTTACACTAACAACAACGCTATATTGTGTAGGGTTTTTCCGACCTCACTCAAGGGACCCGCGCTTCATTGGTACACCCAACTACCAGCCGGATCCATCGACAGCTTTGCCACCTTGAGGCGGCGATTCGTGGCACAATACGCCACCAGCCGGCCTCACCACACACCCTTGGCCGCCTTGGCCAACCTCAGGCAGAACGATGATGAATCTCTGCGAGCTTTCATGGAGCGCTTCTCCAACATCTCGGTTCGGATCCGGAATCTAAACCCGGAGGTCGCCCTGCACGCCATGCTCATGGCACTGAAACCCGGATCGTTCGTCGACAGCCTATGCCGCGACGCCCCCCGCGACATGGATGAGCTGCGTGCCTGCGCCGCCAGCTACATTCAGATGGAAGAACACTCGGCCTTCCGCGACCAAGTTCGCGGGAAGGGCCCCGCAAAACCGGAACAGGGCCACAAAGATAAGGTAAAAGTCAATAATGACAGCCAATTCAAGAAGCCAGCCAGAGCCAACAGAAGCGGGAGATATGACTTCTACACTCCCCTAAACGCCCCGAGAGTCCACATCCTGGAAGAAGCCAGTAATAATAACCTACTAGCCCTTCCACCACCCGGCCACACCCCCAACAGCGCCGATCAGTCCAAACACTGTCGGTACCACAGGAACTACGACCACACTACTGACGAGTGCCGCACGCTCCGGGACTGCACCGAAGAGCTCATCCAGGCGGGCCACCTCGGCCACTACATCCAGCGACAGCCAGGTTCCCGAGGTGGCTCTGGAGGCCGGGGACGCGG